AAAGGATTCGTGTCAACGAAGGACAACGTATTAAAGGATTCGAGTCAACGAAGGACAACGTATTAAAGGATTCGAGTCAACGAAGGACAACGTATTAAAGGATTCGTGTCAACGAAGGACAACGTATTAAAGGATTCGTGTCAACGGAAGACAACGTATTAAAGGATTCGTGTCAACGAAAGACACCGTATCGGGGGATTCGTGTCAACGAAGGACAATGTATTAAAGGATTCGTGTCAACGAAGGACAACGTATTAAAGGATTCGTGTCAACGAAAGACAACGTATCCAGCGATTCGTGGCAACGAAGAACAACGTATTAGGATTCGTGTCAACGAAGGACAACGTATCAAGGGATTCGTGTCAACGAAGGACAACGTATCAAGGGATTCGTGTCAACGAAGGACAACGTATCAATGGATTCGTGTCAACGAAGGACAACGTATCAAGAAATTCGTGTCAACGAAGGCCAACTTATCAAGGTATTCATGTCGACGAAGAAACTTATTAAAACAGATCAAGATAAAACGCACAGAAATGTACAAATTGAAAATTGTATACATCAAGAAAAAAGTGTCCCGCATTTTACGAGAGTAAATTTGATCGGGTTGCCAGTAAAATGCAATAGTGAAGGGTGAGAGGACTCACCCTCCGCCGGTGATGAGAGTGAGCACGAGACCGAGGGGGAAGCTAGCGAGCACCACCCCCGCGACGAGCAGGGACGCTGCCAGGGGCACCACGCGACGCAGGGGGCGACGCGCCCGCAGCGCCGGCGGTGGGTGGTTGGGGCGGCGCCCCTTGCTGAGCCGTGATACTTCGTACACACCGAGGAACAGCACCGAGAACACTCCCGCAGACGACAGCACCTACAGGAGTGTATTGATGACACGTAAATGAACAGCACCGAGAACACTCCAGCAGACGACAGCACCTACAGGTCATTCAATATCACGTGTACAAGTTTTTAAATAGCAACGAATTTGAAACGAAATGCAAAACGTAGTCACGAGTAATAGTAACAATTCATTCAATTAATTCAGCTTTTAAAGAAAACCTTTTATTAGAGGCGGCCAAGCCAAAGAGGCAATTGAGATATGTTAGTAGTATAATATATGTATATTGTACAGTAGAATAGTCGTATGTTTATTTATAATAGTATATATAGTATAGTGTAGTATAGTAGGCGTTGATGAATATGTCAAGTTCATCAAGTTATGCAGCCGAGATTTAGAACGCTAGAGGCTGAGTAATAAAATATCCATGTCAGATGCCAGCCACGATCAAATATGATTTTGTATACATCAAGACTTGGATTGTATACAGAATACATCAAGACCTAGATTGTATTCAGAATATATCAAGACTCAGAATATAGTAAGAAAATTCCATGCTTTAGGAGAGGAATGCTGCTTTTTAGGTTTTTAGACGATCCTCGATTACGAATAAGCTAACATTTGGTTTGACTTTATTTAACTCGCGGTAACTCATTGTGGCGTAATTGAATGAGCAATTAGTTCATATTTGCGTAATGAAATAATCTATTACTTCATATTTGTGTAATGAAATAATCTATTACTTCATACTTGCGTATTGAAATAATCTATAAGTTCATATTTTCTTAATGAAATAATCTAATAATTTATAAATGGACAAGTCGACGCGGCTGCCAAAACAACCGGTATCGCAGAGAGAGGGCAGAAAATGGCGGTACACGAGGACGTAAAGTTCAGTTATCGTCATAATTGAAGTCTCATCACGCGGCTCAGCGACCCTGTGCCTCTCGCGATAAGATAATTCATCAAATTAATTCAACTCAAAATTCAGTGAATAGAAGTAGAAAGTTGTGTAAATTTTTTTATTAGCTAAAAGGGGGAATTTTTTTCATGCGAAGCATTCCATCAAGTGAATAAATTAATATTTGAGCAACGTTTCGAAATAATAATAGTTATATTAAACCCTGAAATCATGAATTTGACTAATTTATTAATACTTTGATTTGTAATAACCTTGATAAATGCAAAGGTTATTGCATTAATTACCGAGTTTATTTATCTCGCATCCCCCAGACACAATTCATTCCAGGGTCAAAATTCCAAAGCAATATTGAAATGATAAAGTTTACGAGAAAAACTTTCGCTCAATTCTTTGAACGGCAAATAAAAGGTTAAGAAATATACAGACCATAAAACGAGGTAGTCAAGCGACGCGGTGGAAGCAGTTCAGCTATTCATTAACTAATACAAACTGTTCATTATTCAAGGGCATTATTGTATTTACTTAATGAGACCGTTTAGTTTATGACCAAAGATTATTTATTATATCTCATTAGGAATTTTCCCCATTGTCTATTGCTATTATTAGGCAAAATTCCTTAACAAGAAATACTCTCTTGTCTTCAACGAAACGCTCATTAAAGAACTGCCTCTACCTAATTATTCGGATTTTAATTAGCAATATTAACTCCATATACAATTCAATAAGAAACACTTGTGTGTATATTCATTTGTTAATATTAATTTATTAATTCGTGTATATTTTAATTTTATATACTATATACTTTTTGTCATATTATATATATTTCGCTGGGGCTATGCAGCTTAGGATGGTTCTCCTGAGGGGGGAGGCTAGCCCCTTCCCACCTTTATTATTTTCCCAGGAAATTTTCAAAAATCATACATGTATATTTCACTTGTATTACCTGTGTGCCTCTTACCTCCTGTATGCTGGGGTCGTGCAGCTTAGGACGGTTCTCGGGAGGGGGGAGACTCGCCACCCCCACCCCCACGAACAGCACCAGCACCATCAGCGACGACGCGTTCATCACCAGCCGGAGGAACCAAGCTTGCTGTCCAGTGAACCAGAACTTCAACACATGGTGAACCATAACTTCAACACATGGTGAACCATAACTTCAACACATGGTGAACCATAACTTCAACGCATGGTGAACCATAACTTCAACACATGGTGAACCATAACTTCAACACATGGTGAACCATAACTTCAACGCATGGTGCAAACATAACCAAAAAATATGCCAGCTTGAACAATTACATATTTATTAACAATGACCCGTTCATATTGAGCTTAAGCACATTATCAGTGATACTAATGCATTTCCTTGACTATAAGCTGGGCAAAATTAACAATCTTGTAGCAAAAATGATACAACTTCGAACCATGTGAGTACAAGAGTTATATTTAACTAATTGTGATTCTTAACAGTATTTAGGAGAACTGGATTTATTATCATTATGAACTTTGTTTCAGGAAATAATGAAGAGAATCATGGTGCAATGAGATCTAGTTAATAGGAACAACCTGTTCAATCTAAGCCGACGGTATTTCAATAATACAGTAAGCAAATTACACACAGATTTAATCCTGTGTAATAACACACGAGATTAATGTAATAATCTCATTTTATTCCTTCGAGAAGAATTTCGCGCTCACGGAGAAAAATTTCGCGCTCATAGGAAATCAAATCAGTTAAATAAATTTCTTTTCCTACAAAAATGAGACAAATATGAATTAAAATTTTGTGATTAGTTCGCTCAGGTACAAAACTAACAAAGATTTGAATATTGAAGCACTTCTTGGAAAATTGCTAGAAATAACATCAGTTCGAATAATTTGACTACATTAAATAATTATATTTTTCAAGTTCGACTTTCGTCATTTATGTTTCTAACATATTCTTCAGTATTCAACAATGCTGATATTTTTTCCACGGTTAACAGTATCGTTTGAAAACAACAAATCGTGGGAAGCACATTTAGTTCTTCAGAGCACAAGCGCAAACACGCTCAGAAAAATGAGAAATTTTTTTTATGCATTTTCTCCCTAATGTGTGTCATCCTGACCCAAATTGTCCCGAAAAAATTAGCGTATCAGAGCTACGCAGCGAACACTCAGAAAACAAATGGGTCACATTGTCCAAACGGTGAATTTTTTTACTGCAGCACTATAGAAGAGAGCGCACGTAGCACTGATACGTCTTTTTGCCGGGTCACATAGCATCAGGATGACCCACTCAAGAGCTAAAAGTGTATCACTACTTGGCTTATTGATATATGAAAATTAGATGCACGTCCAAAGTTTCCTAATTGCGATTGCGAGAAAATTCCACTTTTAATGCGAGGTCACTAAATGAACAATTAGTAACTATTTAGATGAACGAAACATGTCGTCGTCTCGTACTTCATTACATTTTATTCGCTGCATTGAAATTATCTTATTGAAGAACGATACTCAAGCTGTGCACTAACTTGGCGTGCTATATATGAACTTCATGCCTAAAGCATACCCGAGCTATGCACTCCTTTGAAGTGCAATTAATGTATGAACTTCATGCGTAAAGTACATGCATATACCCGAGCTATGCACTCCCTCTAAGTGCAATGTATGAACTTAATGCGTACGTATGCGATAACCAACAATGCGCGTCACATCACGAATATCGTCACTGACGCGCGTGTGCCAAACTAGTCGACCAAAATAATGAAGTCGGGGACGATCGAGGATGTCAGTTAAGACGAGGGCATGTACATCGTCTGGGAATACGTCAATTACTAGATCGCAAGAAACGACCAAATTTTTTAAATACGTAACTAAAATATAACTTGTAATAAGCATTTTACATTAGATATGTATGTTGCACTAGCATATTTATACTAGCAGTGTGACTGAAACGGCCAGCAAACTGACATTATAACATTGATAAAAATAAATATAAGAAATAAAGACATTAAAATATCGCAGTCAAACGACCAGAAAAAAATGGAATACGAATCCACGTGAAACAAATGCGTTCAAAATTTATTAAATAGTAACTAAATAAAACGTAAGCCAATTAATTTAATTCAATTACATTAAGAAAATTATTGCGCGAATCGAGTAATTTTCAGAGACGATCATTCGTCAAACAACGCTCTCAGTTCTCGTGGCACGCGGAGCTAAAACCGAAAAAACAAGCTCCATTTAATTTTGAGCCGCTCGTAAAAACCGACAGCTTTTCTCTGGAATGAAGTAAGAATCTGGAAAGAAATGCTGGCCAGGAGCCTGCAGGTCAGGCAATTGTATCAGGACTCCAGCCATCAACGGAGACAAAAAAGGTAATTATATGTGGAGCGGCAGCTGCAATTGCCGAGGCTCTTGTCGCCGTAATGGCGCACAAATGGCCGTCAAAAATTGTCCTCCTGTCGACCTGGCCTCGCGTAACGCAGGATTGCTAGCTTATTAATGGATAATTGAGTAATAAATAAGTCCACCAACGCTGGTATAGCAATGAGTAGTAATTAGGGAAGCTGAATTTTGATGAGTTATAAGTCAGCGTTCTGATGCTGAGTATTCTTTAGTTTTGTTATCGACAAGATAGAACACAGTTCTGTGCAATTATAATAACACGTCAATCTACAGAAACCTGCAGAATATAAGAAAGTGCAGCTTGACGCTAAGTGAAATTAAAGTATCTATTTGTTAATAATTTCAAGTTGCATTTCAGCTAACTATATAGAAAAATACGAGCACACGTTAAAATTAAAAAACCGACCACATAATTATTAAATTACCAAAAAATTCGTTAATAATAGCAACGAAGCTTTGGATCATAATCAATTATTGCGCGAAAGACAGGTTGGCAAAAACTAACTTTGATCAAAACTATCATATAAAACTAATGCAAGCTAGTTGAAGAGAGGCCCGTTCAAATCCACATTTACATAGTACATAGAACTTCCATTTTACTCGCGTTTCAAAACTAGAATTGCTTTTATTTACATTTGCATTCAATTTTATAGATAACAATTTAAAAATTAAATTCAAATTTTTGGTCTGATCCGTTCTTCGCAGATTTTCTAATGTCTCACTATTTTCTCAATAAGAATAAATCTTCTGGTCCAGTTATATCCCGACACGATAAGTGTCGTGGCTATATATGCGCCCCAACAACCCCTATGTTATTGCTTTGCTTATACGCTTACAAACTCACTTTGATAGGCCTAATCTCAAAAGCGTTCGCTTCCAGAATTAATTTCTCTCCGATACAAGAAAGAGAGCTTTAGAAGTCGCCATCAGCATCCCGTAACCTGAAGCCAGCGCAGGAAGCTAAGTCCAAGGTTTATCCACCGCGGCTGAGCAGGTTGACAAGTCTATAAACGACCAGCAATCAAGCGTCACGCGACGTCGCTATTCATCACAGCTACAAAAGTTGCAGATTAAAGCGAAGCGCAAGATTGAAGCCAATTGGCAGCCGGCCGCCAGGATTAGGAGAGGCTTCTAATGAGCTGGCCGAATGAAGCAGCAAAGGTGATTTTACAGCCGACGAGCGCAATGCACCTAATAAAGCTGATGGATGCAATGTAGGTTGCGCAAAAATTAAAGGTAATTAGCAGTTAATGTAGATTAAATCACTAATCAATTCTCATTTGCATATAAATTCAGTTTCCTGCTTCCAAACACTCGACCAGAAAATGGATGATCCAGAAGCTAGTTTTACACTGTCTGAATAAGGCGGGACGCTTCAAGTTGCTAGACTAACTTCAATTAATACCTCAACTTATTTACGATAAGATAAATGATTGAACAAAAATAGGACAAATTTCCACTATATAAGAAAAGAATATTTTAAAACCTCCCACCCATTCATAATAGAAGGGATTTAGTTCTTTAAATATGTTACTTGAGAGTTGAACTGATAACTCGGAACAAACAAGCCTATACAAAAAAGTTAATGTGCAACAACAGTTCTTCAGAAGGAACGAAAATCATAACTTCAGTTCATAGAAGAAAAAAAAGAATGCAATAACAATTTGCAGCATCGCCATAAACTTGCCATAAGGTAGCGGAAACTTACGCCGATGGAAAAATCGGAGGGCAAAACTTAGGGCGGAGGCTCATAAGTAGGGGAGGAAGTGACCTAACTTGTGATGCAGGGTCACTGTAAAGAAGCTGTTCGAGTGCCAAGCTTCACTCATAAAGATCGTCCAGGATTAAGATAAAGATTATCCGAGCGCGCACGGCCAAACTTGAGCGAGTCAAAAGATTGCCTCCTAGTCCTTCTCGTAGGATTTAGATTCACCGCGTCTGAAGTTAAGGGAGGCTCTTGCTAAGCCGACTTAATTACTGGCATTTGCATGATGACGGGTCCGAAGATTTAGGATGGAAGAGATCAAGGAATTGTCAAGCAACCCGAGGGTCTTAAATAAGTTAAGTAGGGGAGGTCGACACAATTAGACGAGTTGGTCTTGATAAGTAAGGTAGTCACCACCCCAATTGGTCGCGTTGGTCTTGACAAGTCAGGTGGATGAGTTGGATACCCCAATTGGACGAGTTGGTCTTATCATGTAAGGTGGTCAGGACCTAATTGGACGAGTTGGTCTAGCAGAATAAAGCTAGGGATAATCAGACCTTATAACTTTTTAGCTTCTGACTTTATATACAAGGGAATAATCTTCGAAAACAGGATACAATAACACGTAGTTTTCAAGAGACTGAAAGGCTACACAAACTCCAGTACAACTAAAAAAAATTGAGCTCAAGCTTCTAAGTTGTTATTTGCATTGTAAGCCAAAGAGAATGACGAAGTCCCTACTCATTTTATTTGCTAAAAAATACAGAATTGATTGAGGCTATGAAATGTATTTTGAACGCTCCTTCCTAAGTCGTTTTAACGCTTAAAAATGACCACAGCCCATTTCAAAATCTCTGACGTTATCATGAAATCACTTATACGCAACTCAGCCATGATCGCAAAGAGCTTTTGTAGGTGTTGGGGCGTTGCTACTATACTTATACCTAAGCTACTTACTTCATTGCCATTCTGTCGTTTAACCACCAGGAAATTAATAGCCAAAATGCACTAACAGGGTCCCGGGGACCAAAATAAACAATTTCAACATTCAGAATATCAATAATTAGTGGCTTTACTGTGGCAAGAAAAGTTTATTTCTAAATCACTTTGTTCGTAACTACCCTGTAGCCGCAGCGTCGCGTCGCTCAATGACTTCTATACTACTTCTTAACTTGAACTAAAACTGCTATAAACTCTCAACCTAAATTCCACTAGAAAAATTCAAATAAACAACCGAGTAAATTCTTCACTCGAATGTCACGGCAAGATCCTGAAACGTTACAAAATATTTGTATCCCTTACAATGTACATTAACTCTCAATTAATTAATCAGAATCGTATATAAGTACTTATATCATCAGTCTGCTTGTATCACATGTTCACAAGGAATTTAAAAGCAAAATAAACACCAAGCAAATTCACCATGTCGATATCAATATCGATATGGTGAATTTGCTTGGTGTTTTCTTTGCTTTTTAATCAGAATCGGGTTGCCGTGGGTATAGTGGCATCCCACAGGCTCAGTGACCAGCAGACAAACGGTCACTTAAAACAGCTCGTTGAACTGGCATCACATTAAGACTTCTTCATACATGAGAACGTAATATGTACTTTCCTGGGCTTGATTAATGGGCAACAATTATCCTCCTGTTCACAGAGTTACACTTCGCGTGACTCATACCGCTGTCCTTTAATCAATACGTTCATATCTGTTTTGTTCTTTCTTACATTATTAAAATTCTATTTTTCTTTAATACATAATTCTTAATACGTATATTCAGAGATATACCTATATTATATATATATCTATGACACTACAATAATTAAATAAAATTTAAAACAATACCTCTACAGGCTCACCATTGGAACCAAAACCGCAAATGAACTTTCGAGAAAATGGCGAAGCGCAATGTAATGTGAGAAAAAAGTTAACAAGAAAGCCAGGGACAAAGTTCTATAATGAAGTAATTTGAACAATTGCTAACGCAAGCACTATAGAAGCCGAGGCACTTGCCCTTCAATTATAAGGGTCCAGAAATGACGGGCGTCGTGTAAACGAGGAGATCGCATTTCTGCAATCCGGGCAAAGTTGGGTCGCGTTCATTCAATTAGCACAATTAGGAAGAGCGAGCAGTTACTGCTCGTTGTGTCTGTCGAGAGCTTGCGGGCAGTTACTGCTCGTTGTGTTTGTCGAGAGCTTACAAGCAGTTACTGCTCGTTGTGTTTGTCGAGAACATGCGAGCAGTTACTGCTCGTTATGTTAGTCGAGAGCTTGCGAGCAGTTACTGCTCGTTGTGTTTGTCGAGAGCTTGCAAGCAGTATACTGCTCGTTGTATTTGTCGAGAACATGCGAGCAGTTACTGCTCGTTGTGTTTGTCGAGAGCATGCGAGCAGTTGCTGCTCGTTGTGTTTGTCGAGAGCTTGCGAGCAGTTTTCGTTCGTAGTGTTGGTCGAGGGCTTAAGGCCCCGTCAGCTGAGCAAGTGAGACGCGATGTGAGTAATCCGATCAAGTCAAGCCACAAAGTTGGCCTCGGCGGTTCAAGAAGGAAGTTTGAGGCGGGAATTGGAGATCCAACGGTCGTTAACTTAGGCACAACTTCCAGGTAAAAAAGTCCGACTTTGCAATAGGCTTGTCTTCCCTGCATTCTACTGATACGCAACTTTGAGGACTTCAAAACCCAAACGCTATATATAGTCATTAAATTTTAATTTCGGGGCATTGAACGTGGTTACAAAGATACGAGTGTATCATGATAGACTCGTAGACATGATACGAGAGTATCTAAGTAGAGTGTACTAGTACATTCGAGCTATCAGTCATAATAAAATTAAATTCGTTAGAAGGGTCAGTAACATTTTCACATGATAATGTTATCGAAATGGTTTGTTTTAGTTCGAGGGCTTTGGCCCCGTAAAGACATCTGAGAGCACAAACATATCACAAAGTTTCTGTAGGCAAATGTGGAGAAAATAATTTCACATTGAATACAAGTTGTTCGTTAGAATTTCGAGCTGTTTGGCTATATTTTTACCTAAATATCAGAGTTTTTGATTGGATGTCGAGTTATCAGCATTAGAGTTCGGGTGTCATCTGGGTTGAAGGTCGGTTATCATCAAGGGTTACAGTTCGGTTATAGAAAAAAATCTCAAGTCACGGCAATTAATTTAACGGTACTGGTATTTTAGAGCAATCAACCTCCAAGAAAGCCAAAGAGTAGTCTGTTAATTTCATATCTACTCCTGCAGATCTATGTAAATTTTCATTTGATAAACTTATTGTGAATGAGCTTAATTAATTTCATTCGATAAACTGGGACGCGTAGCGGCCTAAGTACACGTATCATGCTAGGTGCATATAGCGCCCGTGGTACACGTGGCGGCCTAGGTACACGTACATTACGTATTCTTAGTACACATCGCGGCCAGCGATCGTACAAGCAGCGTAAGTACACGCAGTGTCATAAGTACATATTGCGTCCTACTTAAGTACACACGGCAGCCTAAGTACACGAAGCATTCTAAGTAGACATGGTGTCCAGCGATCGTACACGTAGCGTCCTAATTACATATGGCGGTCTAAGTACATGAAGCATTCTTAGTACAGATAGCGTGCAGCGATAGTACACGTAGCGTCCTTAGCACACGTAGCGACGATTTCTTGTCTTCATTGGCGGGTTTAGTTTGAGAAGCCATCACTGATTGGCTGACGGAGTTACAAACTCTTTTCAATATAACGGCCAACATAATATTATATATGTAATAATATATATTATTATACATTATATAATAATATAGAATATCAAGTTGACGGTTACCTCAAGTCCCAGGGAGACTGTCTCTTATACACATCTAGATGTGTATAAGAGACAGATATAATAGTATATATAGTATAGTGTAGTATAGTAGGCGTTGATGAATATGTCAAGTTCATCAAGTTATGCAGCCGAGATTTAGAACGCTAGAGGCTGAGTAATAAAATATCCATGTCAGATGCCAGCCACGATCAAATATGATTTTGTATACATCAAGACTTGGATTGTATTCAGAATACATCAAGACTCGGAATATATGAAGGAAATTCCACGCTTTAAGAGAGGACTGCTGCTTTTTAGATATTTAGACGATCCTCGATTACGAATAAGCTAACATTTGGTTGGACTTTATTTAACTCGCAGTAACTCATTGTGGCGTAATTGAATGAGCAATTAGTTCATATTTGCGTAATGGAATCATCTAATAGTTCATACTTACGTAATGAAATCATCTAATAAATCATACTTGCGTAATGAAATCATCTNCATGGTGAACCATAACTTCAACACATGGTGAACCATAACTTCAACACATGGTGAACCATAACTTCAACGCATGGTGAACCATAACTTCAACACATGGTGAACCATAACTTCAACACATGGTGAACCATAACTTCAACGCATGGTGAACCATAACTTCAACACACGATGAACCATAACTTCAACACATAGTGAACCATAACTTCAACACATGGTGAACCATAACTTCAACACAAGGTGAACCATAACTTCAACACATGGTGAACCATAACTTCAACACATGGTGAATCAGAACTTCAACACATGGTGAACCAGAACTTCAACACATGGTGAACCAGAACTTCAACACATGGTGAACCAGAACTTCAACACATGGTGAACCATAACTTCAACACAAGGTGAACCATAACTTCAAAACACGCAGGAACCAAGCTTGCTTTCCAGTGAACCACAACTTCAACACAAGGTGAACCATAACTTCAACGCTTGGTGCAAACATAACCAAAAATATGCCAGCTTGAACAATTACATATTTATTAACAATGACCCGTTCATATTGAGCTTA